TTTTTGACACAACAAATCTTTACAAATCCTTCCCCTGCTCCCAGTTGTTATCGCGGAATCTCTCTAAAATCCTTCAGGTACCAGCTTGCGACATTTTGTTTCTGTGCGGAGACTATATGTAGGCGACTTTGGATGTGCAAGAAAAACTGCGAACCGGAGGAGTGGTTAGTAGAAATTTGTCGTGTCAAATAAGCATTGTGTGCTCCCTGTAGCTAAATCTAAATGTCGCCCTGGCGGGCAACAGTTGCATAATTGTTGCCTACTCTTCCACCAACCAGAGATTACTTTGACTTCTCCTTCCCTTAATACTTTACACTTAACTCCTGCTATATAACAAAAACAGTTAATCACTGGCAGTTAGTTTTTCTTCCCTTGAATCTTGATGTTTCCCTCAAGATTCTTGGGAAAACAAAATGACCAGCAATTAAGTGTATAATAGATATATATAAACCATGCACTATGTTGTACACATGTATACTATCAATCAGTGTTTTTCAGTAAACTGTATTTCTTTACAATTGTAGCCAAAGTGGGTCTTTTTAAGTGCAGCCTGTAAAATGCTTCTACCGTATCCTTTGAGAAAACAAGAAAAAGGGTAATGTTAGCAATAGAAATCAAGCATCAATGTGATGTTCATAGCAATATTAATGACAAATTACATGTATCTGCATGTTACATGTAGTTCACTTTTTGTCTAGTAATGAATTGAAGCAATTTTGAATTGAGTGTTATGAAACCAAAACCAAAGTAACCACTCTGGCTAATAACAATCACAATCATAAATGTTCTGAACTATTTTCTAGACTAACTTTTTGTCCAGCCCTATATGTATAACACATCAGCCTGCATTTACATTTATATTTTTTTCTTGAATTCACTTTTACATTTATTAATAACTCTGAATCCTCCAAATCCCTTGCATAATAGGCCCTATTCATACTGGAAATGGCTGCCGATTTAAAATTCTTTTGTATGCATTTAAATTAGCCCAACTAACCTCGTTTGAGAATAAAAATTCTTTTGAATTATCAAGTCAAAAACGAGGTTGAATATGGTCTATAGCCTCTTACTATCCAAGCACAAGGGCCATACTGGGGAATATTGGCCCAAGGTTGTGGCAGTACACAACACAAAAACGTTTGATGGCCAATAGTCTTCAGTACGGTACGGCTGGAGCAAGCTAGGTTAGAAAGTAGTTGTAATGAGGTTAAGTAAGTGTACTAGGTAACTTATTGTATGGCAAAAAGATACCCGACTTATAACTGTTTCTATGGAAAAAGTCCATAGGGCAAAATTCTTACCAAGAAAGAGCCAATCAGAATACTCAGATATACCTAAGACTACCTTGTCATAATAATGACGATTACTATTGCCCAGCTCTAAGATTTATGACAAATGCATTTGACATAAGGAAAGTTTAAATGAAGCAAGTATATGCTAACAAACCGCTGTAGCTGAAACATTGCATGTGAAGTGAACATACTGCAGATCTTGTGATCTGGATCAAAGAGCACCTCATCACTTAACTTTAAACAGATGTGGAGCCTTTAGACCTGAATCAGAACGGCTGCTCTTCAAAGGAGTCGTGGTTTGTCCTTCACAGGTCAGTTTATGATTTACATGTGTCCAGTTACATTATTATTTCGCCACCCTGTGTCTGTCAACTTTTTGTGAGTTCAATATGAGATGTTGCACATGAAACAAGACATACATGTATGAAAATGGTTCCAAATCAAGGATGGGCAAAAGATCTGTTTGAAGATCAGAGTTGCCAGCTAATTTCACCAGCAAAAAAGAGCACACATATATTACCAACGTAAATTACACTTAAAAAAAAAAAAACCTTGGGACAGCTTTTGTGCATTTCAGAAAAGTGGCTTAGTTTGTGTATCAGCTGATTTAGTTTTGTTTAGTTTTTTTTTCTAACAGCTTCATTCCTGCAATCTGTTTGTGGAGACTTCTTTAAAACAATATGAATAAAAGACTTCACATTTCTCAGTTTGTGCCAGGTTTGAAGGGTTTCCAAATCTCAGTTTATAAAGACAATACAGCTGTAAAATGATACTTATTATTAATACTAAATTTGAGACAAGGCCATC